AAAAATGCTGGCATCAACTGATGGTGCAGCATCTACTTAGAAAACGTGTGAACAGAAGACCAGGTGGCAGCCTTGCAAGCCTGGGAAACTGTTGCTTGATGTTGAAAAGTTCAAGAAGCACTCACAGACTTAGTAGAGTGAAACCCAATCCTTGAGACCATAAGCTTAGGTGATGGCCTGTTTGAGCCACCTAGAGATGGTGGAATGAAAAGCTAGTGCACCCATACAGGGACCATCCAGACAATGGAGGGACATTTTCTTTTATTGAACTGGCACTTGACAGAGGGATGGGAGAACAATGTGCTGTTTGAGGTGAAAGTCAGAAAACTACCTTAATGGGAAAAAAAGTCCTGGACCTCAACATCATTTTGTACATATGCAAAACCATTAATTGTGGGTGAGAGTAGAGAAAGGAATGTTCAAATCAAGGTTTCTAAAGTGCAGAAAGAAACAGAATCAGATCCAATAAAGTCACAGGGAAACGAACAGCCACGTGTGAAGTCCCTGTATAACGATCTAAATCAAGGAGTGAGAGGCCAACAATCTCTGAAACAAGATAGAAGGGGCAGAATCAGACCCAGCTAATTAAGTCAGCGCTGCCCAACAGCATTAACCTATTCTGCAGTGAAAACCGATAAGAAATGGGAGACAAGCACAGAGTGCTGTCCACTGGAAAAAATCCCAAACCTTCCCAGAAAGGAATGTTCAGTAGCACTCAGGTAATGTCCAATGGAGTTCCAGTCAGTACATAGATTTACAGAAGGACCCCCTGAAAAAGCAGGAAGTGCCGTTTTTTGTGAACCATATTAGAGTCCCAAGTGTGGAGACCCACAATCCATCCAAGGAAGCAACCCCAGGGTGGCTCGAAGGCACTACCCTGTCCCCAGGCACAGACTGCAAAGTAGTATCCTCATGGTCCAAAGGGATCATCTGAATGTCTCTCCTCAAGACCAGACACCCTGGCACTCAAAGAAAGACTGATGATGGATGAGAGCTCCCAAGAAAAGGGAAGACCATGGTAGGAAAGGGAAGAAGATAGAAGGGCAATCCCTAGATCCCCCCTCCTGAAGACCCAGGAGAGGCCATCTTCCTAAGCGCAGCCTGCAGGAGTAAGCTCCAGTAGAGGGACTCAGAATGTGAGAGTCCACAAAGCAGACATTCTTCAGGAAGGGGCTTCTAAATGTTATGCAATAGGGATGCCAAGAAAAGGCATTAGGGTAAACATTAGATCCACTACTAAGAGTGGGTACATGCTGACAGAGAAACAGCCAAAGCTATTTAATGTGGAACTTGTGGTTCAAAAGATGCCTTGGTCGATGGGTAGGATTGACGGTTAGCAAATACTATGCAGGATTCAACAGTACCCAAGGACAGGAAGGTAGCAAAAGACTCTGAGGTGACTTAAGCGCCTAGTCTATATGTCCGAAATGGACTGTTTACTCAACAATCCTTCATCTGTTCTCCAATAATTATTCTCAAGTATGTATTCACTAGGGTTGCACAGATACCAAGTACCGTACTCGGTACAAGTACGAGTACATGTACCGATACTTTTGAGCTCCAAGACTACACTAGAGAAAAATTCAAAAATTAGGAGGCAGCTGTCATGTGTAAGGAGCACACAGAGCTCCTGGGATTTGTACATCTCTGTTTTAATGTACGATTTTGTTTTTATAAATATAAATAAAGTGATGCACAGATACCAGTTTTGCGAAAAGTATCTGTGCATCCCAAGTATTCACCCAGTCTTGTTTAAGTTCCCCACACCCTTAAATGCTGAGGAGGTACATAGTGGCACAGCTGGTTGCAAATCAGCCCCTGCTTGAAGAACTGGGGGCGCTCCTTCATGCAGATGGCTGAGCGACGGATTTAGAGGACCTGGGGCATGAAACCCTATGGCCTGAGTGTGAGTAATAGTTTTACTGCCTACGAGCTACTATTGGTGCAGGAGGTAAAGGAAAAAGGGTCATTCTGCCATTTCCACTGACCTCCTGCATTGAGGCAGGAGTGCATTGTGACCATTAGAGGCATTGCTATTTGACAGTCTGAGAAAGTCCAAAGAGGCGGCATCCTAGGCACATAGCCAAAATTCTCTACACATGTGGATAGACATCAGCGCCATGCGAGAAACAAACTTAGATGCTTGCAACAGGCCTTCACATTTGAAGTGCAAGGCTCCACACATTTGATCCACATGTTCAATGAATTGAGGGCCTACCCTGGCGATCTTCGAGTTCTCTTTAAGCGACTTAAACCGATACCTAAAGTGACACAGTTTCTCAAATTAAGGTCACCGCCAACACAGGGTGCAAATTCTTTCCAGCTAAATTAAATTTGAATCTAAATAGGGCATTCAACCTTTTGCTTGTGAAATCTCAAAAGGTGAGAACAACATGAACTCGATTAGTAGTATGTCGATTACAGGAGCATCTATAGCGGGAAAAGACAACCGAGCAGTAAATTCACTTTCAAAGCTCTGCCATATTCTCTAGAGGGGCCCAGGATGCTACAGGGTGTTCCCAATCCCAGAACAGACAGAGAAAGGTCTTAAACAGTGGGTGCAAAGAAAAGGCCTTTGCCGTTTTTGAAACTCTAAAAGATCCTAGGCCTGAAATAGAAGGCTGAGCCTCCAAATAGCTCAAACATAGCCGCTCTAGGGGTAGACTGTGAATCAGAGATCAGAGCAGCAACGGGCCTAGAGCGGTCCGAGCTAGACTCTGCAGCGGATGGCATAGGAGGGTGCTCAGAGCCTCAATAACTAGAGCAGTTTGCTCTAGTTATTGAGAATAAACAGACACAAGTAATCCAAAGTGAACAAGGAAGTCCTTCTGGACACAGAGGAGACCTCAACCTCACTCAAGGGAGAAGCAGCAGAAGCTTCCGATAAGGAGGACCCTTTAATACTAGGGGACCCAGATTACAGGCATCAGTTCTTTCCGGAAGATATGCCAATCTGGACAGATATTATATAGGGAGCGGTGTGAAACTCTTAAGTGAAGTCACCATGGATGGATAGAAGGCTGTCTATTACAGTACAAATAGGTCCTGGTTCTATCTTCTTACAGCTTTATTTATTTACTGATTTACTAACTGACATATCAGTCTGGATGTCACAACACTTCTTAAAACTCAATCTGTCAAAAACTGAGCTCATGGTATTTCCTCCTGCCCGTGCACCTTCCCCCAACTTTTCCCTTGAGATTGATAACACAACTATCCATCACTCCCCCCCATGACAAGGTGCTAGGTGTCACCCTTGACTCAGACCTCACCTTTCTGCCCCACACCCAATCCCTATCCAAATCCTGCCATCTTCACCTCCGTAACATCTCCAAAATACGCCCCTTCCTCACCAATGAAACCGCAAAACTACTCATCCACTCACTTGTTATCTCTCATCTTGACTATTGCAACTCCCTCCTCATTGGCCTACCTCTACACAGGCTATCCCCCCTTCAGTCTATCATGAATGCAGCTGCTAGACTCATTCACCTAACCAACCGCTCAGTGTCTGCAACCCCCCTCTGTCAATCCCTGCACTGGCTTCCACTCGCCCAGAGGATAAAATTCAAAATGTTAACAACCACAATTCATCCCCACACATCTACCTCCTCATGTACCACTTGCCCCTCTCTTTTAGATTGTAAGCCCTCACAGGCAGGGCCCTCTTTACCATCTTGTCTTGAATTATATTGTAATATCTTCCTTATATTGTAAAGCGCTGTGAAAATTGTTGGCACTATATAAATCCTGTAGAATAATAATTTACAAAGATACATAACATGTAGTTATAGCACCACTGTATTGTTTGAAATGAACATAGTGAGAGCCAGAATTTCCACCTATGCACCGAAATAAAACTTTACCTGTGTACACCCTGACTGGCTCCCTAATCTAAACTAATAAAAACAAACTGTGTAACACTTTTAACAGCTTTGGGTACTGATGCTGCTATTGCCACAGCACAGCCACACACAGGATAGGATCTGTGAGAAGGGAAATGGCATTGACTGGCTGCTCAGGTTAAGAGAACCAATCAATGGCTTAGCCTGCATAAAGATACCACTGCTGCTTCGCCTCCTACAGAGGCTCAGTCCTGGCAAAAGAAGACCCCTTGCAAGCGGTTCACGCATTACACCATTCTTTTTATTAGATTAGGATAGGTAACAGCAGGGAGAATGCAAACATGTAATGTTCACTTCAGGGCAAAGGACAGCTGAGAAATAAACTACACAACTGCACACAAACATACTTCATACGTCATGTAATCCTCTTTAACAGTAATCATCTCTTATAAAAATGCTACTAATTAAAACCAGTTTTTTCTATTAGTGCTTATTCGAACAGGAGTGCACGCCCGTAAAAAGACTCGATCCCGGAAGGGACAAGTGCTGGGCGTAACTGCGTGCAGCTATGTCCTCCCACAGGGAAAAACAGTCTGTCTGCATCCGAGTGCAAACACCCGGACCCGCACACATGTGCAGGTTCAGGTGTGCTTGTGACAGCGTGTAATTGTATGCGGCCAAGTCTTCCCACAGGGAGGAACAGGCTGCTGCGTGCAATTACATGCAGCACCTTTCCCTTCCAGGATTGGGTCTTTTTACGGGGGTGCACACCGTACAAACCTGTACGCCCGTCTGAATGAGCCTTTAGGCAACCCCAGGTACAAACAGGGAGGAACAAAAAATTTCATCACAGAAAATTGTGTGGCTATTATGCCATCATTACCTCATTTATTTTCATAGGCTAATGCCAAAATCCTTTATTCATGCACTTGAAGCTATAAGCTTGACTTTGTTACTTTTGCTTTCAGTAACAACTGAAAGTCTTTGTTTAAAGTGCATATGATGCGATAGAAATACCGAAATTCATTATTTGTTTTTTTTTAAAAACGCAGTCAAGCAGCAAAATCTTAAAACATTCACAAAGAAAGAAAAAACAGTGAATCACCATGGATACAAAATTATAGAGTGAATAGATTTATTTATGATTTGTTTCAAAGAGGTAATATCTCTTACATTTGCATCCCAATCTTTGAAGACATTTTGTATGTAGGTCAGAATGTACGAAATATACTTACAGTGAACTGCATTTAGTGCAGTGAAGCTTTACAGATTGATAGAGGTGCTGAGGTTGAAAACTTCTCAGTCTTACTCTGATACGATATTTCTGAGGAGGTTTAGTTTTAACGACAGTGCTGACAGGCGTTGTAAGCCATTCTTGATTAGTTGGATGTACTGCAATAAAAGCAATATCAAATGTGTCCTGTGATGACATATGTCACAGCCCAGAAAGAAAAACAAAATAGAAAAACTCTGTTGTGTTGAAATTCTGCAGTCATATACAAGCACTTAAATACATATACTTCTACCAGTGGCCAGAAAAGAACAAATCCCACACTGGTGACGGAAGTAGACCCACCCTTGTCTTTAAGCATTAGTGGAATTACAGAAACAGAGATAAACAATAGCAACAACACTCCCTATTGTTTTAAAGGGATTACTAGCAACTGGCTTTAAGCAAACCTGTTAATATAAGAATACAAAGGCCACTGTTGAAGACTTGCTTTTGTAGGTGCGTGCTTTTGTGCCATTCTTATCCTTCCTGAGCCATTTAACTGGAGTAAGCATGCATCCAGTGAAGTCTCAGGGTACTTGACATACATATACTTGAACAGCTTTCTTGAAGCTTTTATAGCACCTTTGTGCTCCAGTCTGGGGATGTTAAAACAGAAATCATAATGGGAGTGGAGGTGGTTGTTGCTTTAGAACAAGCTGACTTTAGCAGGCTTTTTACAAACTTCAAGTAATGCCGAGGCTTTTTAGTATTATTTTGAAGGTAACAGCCAGAATTCCATTAAGACTGTAGTTTAAAGCTGAACCTGAGCCATACAGTTTAATACAGAGTTGACATACATATAAAGGACCTGTTTTACCAGCAAGTTGGTTTATTTCTGTCCTTCTTGTATTGATATTTAACATACAGCAGAGCTAATTTGGTTACTTTCCTCTACTGCAGTTAAAGCGACTCACTCTGTAGGGATAGGAAATACCAGAACTAGTGCTCTAATGACTGGAAACAAGTGTATGAATCAATGATTTCCATTTACATGTGCACTGTCACAAAGAAATGCTGTGGTATAATGTCTAGGGGATAAACTTAGGTATCTGTTTCTCATGTGCATTTATCAAGCATGGGCAGCTGTGAAATTGCATTTATCTGTGAGGTCAATTTTATGGCGAACTTGTCAGGCATACTGACCTTTGAAAGAAACATCCTGCCTAAAATTAGGCACCGGACGACTGCTGACCTATCCCTATGCACCCTTGCGAGAAGTCCTTCCCAGTTACCATTGCTCTGACTAACAAGGGTGCCCCTCACTGAGCCCCTCCTGTTAAACGCTCAGTGCAATGTGGAGAGGCTTGCTGTGGAGAAGAACCTAAAGGGTAACTCCACTTTAAAAAAACTTAACAAATAAATGAATGTAGCATATATAATTGTTGCACAAACCATTTTGTAATCTATTGTTATTAAAAATTAATTGTTTAAAACGGTAGCTGCTGTAATGTTCTAAATTTGTCAAAAAGAATTTCAAAGCAATATCGTGACCTGGAGTCATTCTGTACATAGTTGGTGTACAGAACTCCCCTCGAAATGTCACTTCCTGCTTCAGTTATTGGTTGACTAATTAGTCTGCACTAAGATACAAGTACAATTTTAGGAATCCCTTGCAATAGAACTTTCATTTTCCGCAAGATACTCCAGAAGGGTTAATTACCACTAAAAGGATGCAGGCACTGCAACTTCCCTGATTAGAATACAGGAAACCCACCAGCTAATTATAATGAACCCAGACACTCCTATTTTGGAATCAATTTGGAAAGGATATTCTGGATAAGATTTTTCTTCAGAATAGTAACATATAGGAATCTGCAATAAAGTTGGTCAAATTCCTTGGAATGTACATTGATCATCCACAGGGGATTGATATTTTTCTCATCAAAAGTGGAGTTACTCTTTAAACTGACCACAGACAGCTCGATTTTCTCTGCTTCAGCCCATAGGCTAAATAACAAAAACTGATTCCCCATTTACACTAAACAGCGTGGATGGAGAAACACCATGCTAAAAAAAAGCCATAGCCTATGGCCAGCTTTACTTAGTGAGGTCAGAAATGGCAATGTGACAGTGTTAGGAATCTCTAACTTTGTGGATCGTTTTCAAATCTGGCAACACGTATATTATTAAGTAATTAAGAGTGGGGGCTTTTAAGATGCTTCATATACATGATACATATTGTTAAAAACAATGCCGATTATTAAAGTCATTCAATGCATAAACATTTTTTAAATCATAAAACATTCCATTAAAGAAAATACCTCCCCTAAACCATTACTGGATCAAGACATTTTACATACATTTATTGTCACATCATTAATCCAGATAGATAACTTTCCACAATGGTTTAGTTAATCTCCGTGGAGGGGGGGGTTAGGGGGGGCTGGGAGAGAGCACCCCCCTGAAATGATGGCAGATAGCACAGGAAGCAATAGCTTCCTTGCCATCTGCAGACTTTTTTTTGCAGTTGTCAGAATAAAAAAAAAAAAAGGCATAAGAATGCATAGCTAGATTCCTATTGGCTATTTCACTTTGCAATAGCCTATAGCAAACTAGCTATTGCACCCGCCCCCTGCTGGTTTCAATCACCAGAAGGGGACCTGATAGAAAAATTCAGGTCCCCCTCTGCTGATTGACAGCAGCAGTGGGCGGGTGCATTAGCTAGTTTTCTATTGGCTATTGCAAAGTGCAAAACCCAATAGTAATCTAGCTATGCAATCGTATGCCTTTTTTTTTTCTTTTCTGACTGACGGTCTCCCGATGTCAGAAAAGAAAAAAAAAAAAAAACGATCCCAGGGAAAGGTTTAATCTGCTCGATTGAGCAGATTAAACCTTTCCGGTAAAAAGTGTGTCTCTCCCGGGTGGCCGGGAGAGTTAGGATGTGTACTCACCGGCCCAAGCAGCTCCATCAGGTAACGAAGGGAAGGGGGAGGAGTCCAGTGACGTCACGGACATCACCGGGCTCCTCCCCCTTCCCTTCGTTAGCGCATATATATATATCTATATATACATATACACACACATACATACACATATATACACACATCATATTTTTAAACAGAATAATACAAATACATTAGGGCTGTTACTGATTAAAATTTTCGTGTTCGATTAATCAAAAACATTTTTAATCGATTAATTCAGATTATAACGCACATACAGATCCAACTACATTGGCCTATACACATACAGCACAGCGATGAAGTAATAAAATGAACTAGGATCACAGTAATCCAGCACGTTATTAATCTCACGTGCCCCACTCAATATGGCCGCCGCTTGAGTGGGGCAACCGACAAAGCCACTTGGGGAAGGGGGAAGGAGTCCGGTGACGTCGATGTCCGTGACGTCACCAGATCTCCGGAAGCAGGCGGAGAGGTGAGTACGGATCAAAAAAATTTTAATCGATCAAAGAAATTAACGATTAATCGAGGAATCGTTCATTTACGCAGCCCTAAAATACATGTATATCATGCTTTTTAACATTGCATATAACTTATTTAAATTCATATTTGCTTATATAATCAAGTGTGGAATACCTCAAAAAGTAAAATGGTAAAAACTACTACCCCCATAAGTTGCCATGTGGGGTTGCATCATGGCTCAGAAACGACGGCTATAAAATTTCATACCTTGGATCGCATTCATGACGACCCAAGAGTTGGCAATATGGAGAAGAAACTTTTACAGTGTGAAACTAGATGGATATCTATCTTGAAAGCTACAATGATACCAGGTCTTTCTTTATCAAATCCTGAGCTTTAAATCGTCCTTATAAAATGTAATTCAGAATCAATTTAAGACCCTGCAGGGAAATATGGCCGAGGTCCACTCCATAGGATAATATTATCAGAAGGTTCTCATACAGTAACAAGTATGTTGTAATTAAACAATTATCATAACATACACAATCTAGGGATAGATGCATAGGCAGTCTTCATTTCCCTGGGGGGAAGGCATTTTATTTTATCTTATTGTCAATATCATTCTGGATAATAAAAAGCAAGTCCAGCATTGGCTTATGGCTTCCCCCCTTCTTTTGATACTATAGATATTTCAGCTTGTGTCTTCCTGCACTAAGCGAGCAATTTACTACTAAGTGATTTGGATTTACTCTGTTGAAAAACATGATATACCTATATTTATAGTTACCCTATTATGTTGCAAAATGTGGTATAGATGTGTTTATACTTATTTTATTTGTATAATAAATATATAATGCCTCCTTCCTGATGCTTTATGCAAAACGTGACGATTAACTAAACCATTGTGGGCTACTTACCTGAGCAGAACTAGAAAGTTATCTACTTGGATCACAGATTAGATAATGAATATGTGCATATATATATATATA